ATGCCCTTGGACTAGGCATCACTCTGTTACTTATGTGGCCTGTTTGATTGGCTTGTCTCTTTCTGCCTGTACCAATCTTCCTCAGAATCAATGGAAAACTGGGAGGGCAAAAGCAAAAAACTATTTGTGGGCCACTCTACTCCGCTAATATGAGATGCTTTAAATAAACCAAACACAGGAAGCCGAGTAAGGAATCGGTGGAACCCCCCCCACCCTCCCATCCCGCCCCTCAAAGTGCAAAATACAAAAGAAACAAGAAAGCAAAGGAGAGGATCTCTCCCTCCCAGGAGCATGCCCTCCTTGCCTTTCTCTTTCTCTTTTCTCCTCTCTTCCTTCCTCCTCTCCCTGTCCCTGCCCCAGGCAAAATAATAAATAAAGCAAAGGAGAGAACAAACTGAATGACATTTCTTTTGTCTTTGTCTTTTGGTAATGAAAGATGAGAGATAGGGAACCAAGAGCCGGAGAGGGTGAAAATGCTTTCAACTAAGAAGTCAGGAAACCAGGGAAAAGTTCCCAATCACCTACTATCAGGTTTAGTGTACTTGGGCAATTCACTAACGGCAATTCAAGAAATATCTAAGTACTACTATGTGCTTACGTGGTGGTCTCTAAGATCATGGCCACCTCTCTCTCAATTCCTCTTTTTTGTATGTCCTGCTACTAGATGACAACCTACCTAACGGATTACGAAAGAACTCAAGGGTGAAATTGTGAGCCACAGCTGAAAGGAGTAACTCTGTTTCCACGGAAGGAAAGACAGGTAGGCAATAAGTCCCATCCCTAAGGAGGGTTTGAGAAAGGACCCACACATCCACATGCCCATGAGCATCTAGTTCAGATCCATGTAACTTTCTGGCATCACGGATAAAGTGCAGAATCCCTGAAAGCTTGAACACTTAACGATGGGCACTGGTTGCTGGGGATGGTGTTAGGTCTAAAAACATAAAGTGTTTTGGTTAGGGAAGGCCCTGCTTAAGAACCATAACTTCCACCCCGACAAATAATGTTTACTCATTTAAAACAAAACAAAACAAAACAAAACAAAACAAAACAAAAACTTAAGTGACAAACTGGCTGAGGCTGCCTCAAAACATTCCCCCGAGAAGAGAGAAATAAATGACGAGAGAAGTCAAGGAAAGTTTCCTAGAGAAGCAAAGCTTGGGCTGGAACTTTAAGGGAAGGATGAAGAGGGATGGGTGGAGGTGCAGACATAAACAGCATCTATAGGTTCCAAAGAAACCTGGGTAACTTGCCTTAAGATAAAGGAGAGCCTGGCCAGTGTTGCTCAGTGGTTAGGCATCAGCCTATGAACTAGGAGGTCACGGTTTGATTCCGGGTCAGGGCACAGGCCCGGGTTTTGGGCTTAATTCCCAGTAGGGAGCGTGCAGGAGGCAACCAACCAATGATTCTCTTATTGATGTTTCTATCTCTCTCTCTCTCTCCTTCTCCCTTCCTCTCTGAAATCAATGAGGGGAAAAAAGAAAAAAAGATAAAGACAAGCCTTTCTAGAGTAAGAATATGCACCGATGAGCAGTGGGCAAGGCAGCCTTCTAATAAAAAGGTTTGGTGGAGTCCGACTCCAGAGGCTTCGAAAGAGAGAAAGAGGAGGAAGCAACATTACCCGCTGGTTGAAAAACAACAATATTTCTATAAGGTTTCAATCATGTGATCTACTAGTACACAATAAAGGGATAATTAGATGCAAGTTGTTGAGAGAAGCAGTGGACATAATCTATCGGAAAGTTTTGGACAATATATTAGGCATTGAAAATGGAGACATCATGGAATTAAAGGTGGTGCTTTTATGAGGGCCTGAGGACTTGGAGATAGGAAACAATAGGTGGAAATAAATGCTCACTTCACTGAATGAAAGGCGATTAGAGTGTAGGGGCCCCAAGAGACTATGCTGGGACTTGTCTGGCTTAAATTTTTTATAAGTGATCCCAAAGAAGTAGAGCAAAGTGAAAATTTCAGGACTGCAGATCATATTAAGCTCTTACAGGCAGGGAAATGCTTTGCCAAAGGAGAGCATGAGAGCTGAAGCAAAGGTACTGAGTGGGATGCAAAATGGCAGGTAAACGTCAATGTGGGGGGATGTAAGGTAACGCACTCGGATAAAAATAATCCACGCACTGGGTGTTGTGTTCCAGGCTATCAGTTTTGACCCAGGAAAGGGATCCGGGAGCTAGACTGTTTCCTAAAGGCAGTGGGCTAAGGTGTTGGGGTCAGGGAGGTTGACAAAGGAATAGGCAGAAGCAGGAAGGAACCTGAAAACCAAAGAGGAAATCATCCTTCCTTTGTGCAAGACGACAGGGTCCCACGTCTAGGGACAATGGTCAGGTTTCTGTCTTTTGAAATCTAGGGTGCTTTCTTCAGCAGCACATATACTAAAATTGGAACTATACACGGATTATCGTGACCCCTGCACAAGGAGTAGATAAAAAAGAAAGTTAGGGCCCACGGATAACTAGAAAAGGGCAACAGAAATGACCCAGCGGATGAATACGCTAATCTAGGGTGGCCTGTTGTCAGGGACATACTTAAGGATGCAATGACAAAGGTTAAGAGAGGTGGAATAGTCAAAGCCTATAAAACTAACAAGGATAAGGAATGGATACAACCTTCTCTCCAAATCCTGACACATTCAAGCAAACAGCCTCCTCTTAATGCTTGAAATTTCACAGGAATAAAAAGGGGTTTCAGAGTTCAGATCATCTGGCCCTATCCTTCCATATTTGAGATGGTAAAATCCATGCCTAGAGAAAGCAAGCAAATGGCCCAAGGTCACAGAAACCACCACGGGGCCACCGTCAGATTAGAAGCTAGGCTTCCTAAATCCCAGATCAGGATCTTTCCTCACCCTGTGCCTCAGGAGGACTAGAGGAATCCTATTTTTTATAGTGTATAAACCCATGATGTAATGCAAATGCATTACGTTAAGATGTAATAAAGATGAAACATAGCCTTAGCTGGTTTGGCTCAGTGGATAGAGCATCAGCCTACTGACCAAAGGGTCCCAGGTTCAATTCCTGTCAAGGGCATGAACCTCGGTAGCAGGTTCCTCCCTGGTCTGGGACCAGATCAGGATGCATGCAGGAGGCAACTAATGGGTGTATTTCTCTCACATCAATATTCCTCTCTGTCTTTCCCTCTCTCTTCCATTCTCTCTAAAAGTCAGTGGAAAATATCCTCGGGTGAGGATTAAAAAAAAAAAAAATGAAACACAAACAGGCTAGGGAACATTTTAATTAAAAGTAGACTAACAATGATAAGATATTTAAAAGACAACTACCAAATGGGGCCAAAAAGACTTTCTACCCACTCTAATTTTTTATTATTATTATTTTTTAAATCCTCACCCAAGGATATTTGAGAGAGAGAGAGAGAGAGAGAGAGAGGCGAGAGAAATATTGATCAGTTGCCTCCTGCACATGCCCCAACTGGGGACTGAATCCTGCAACCTAGGCATGTGCCCTGACTGGAAATTGAACCCACCACCTTTTTTCTCCCTTCCTTCTTTCCTTCTTTCCCTTCCTTCCTTCCTTCCTTCCTTCCTTCCTTTCTTCCTTCCTTCCTTCCTTCCTTCCTTCCTTTCTTTCTCTTTTTTTTTGGTTCTCAACCAACTGAGCCACACTGGGCTACACACTAATTTTTTTGGATCATGTACCCATTAAAGATTGAAGAACACTATGGATTCTCTCCTAGAGAAACACATTTGCACATACAAATACAATTTTGCACATAATTTCAGAGAGTTTATGACCCCTGAGTTCCATGCCCAGTTCCCATTCTGGCATTCTTTTGAACAAATAGACTACCTGCTTCAACAAGCATATTCTATCTCTTTGAATTTACTAAGGCAATCACGCTGATTTTCCTCAGCAAAAAATCCCCCACTATCCCAACTAACATCACTTACTAGAATGCAGACCTCTAGGTAGGAAGAGACCAAAGAAATGACCTAGTCCATTGTCTTTATCACCATGTGACATAAGACAAAGTTATAGTTAAATATACAGAGATGAGAACAGCCCGCCTAGGTTAGAATCCCAACTCCATCACCCACTAGCCCTGTGACCTTGGGCAAGTTGCTCTCTATTTCCACTGAAGGAAGGACAGGTGGGCATGCAAAAATGGGATCATAATCGCAACTATTTCCTAGAGTAGTTTATGAGGACTAAACAGAATACTAATTTATATACAACATAGCACCAGGCCTGGCATGTAGCGAGTCCTCATTGCATGCTAGCTGGCATTGTTGTTGTCATTATGCACGTATCCGTGCAAGTATGCATGCATCCATCCCATCTCCTCCTGGAGCTTTTGTTTTGCACATGCCAGAAGGGAGCAGCTCACCGCCTCCTAAGCTGGTTGAGCAGCTCCGATGGTTACAACTTCTTCCTTTTTATTGAGCCGAAATCTGCCTTCTTGCAACGCCCACCCCCACCCCTGCTGGCCCTCGTACTGCCCCGTGGGGCCTCGCAGAGCAAGTCTATCCTTGCTCCACGTGACAGCCTTCGGCTGTGAAGACAGTGATGGAGTCCTTGCCCATCCCCTCGCCCCCACCCCACCTCACCCCACCCCACCCATCCTCTCTCCTCCGGCGTGAACATCCTCGGGCGCTTCCCCAACCTACAACAGCCAGGCTGCGCTTACTATTTACTCCGGGGCGGTGTACGGCTTCCCTCACACCTAGTCATGCAGGCCACACGCCCCGCCGCCGCCGCTGCCCCTGCCCCTGCCCGCGCCGCTGCCCCTGCCCGCGCCGCTGCCCCTGCCCGCGCCGCTGCCGCTGCCGCTGTCCGCGGTGCTGAAGCGGCTCCGGCCCGCGGCCCCGGCACCGCCCTCCGCCCCCGCCCCGCGACCCTGGGCGCGGACCCCCGCCCGCCACCTCCGCTCTCCGGCCGCAGGCGCGGCCCAGCCCCGGCCTCGGCGCCGACCCAGCCCCCGCCCCGCCCGGAGGCCCCGCGCCCGCGCCCGGCCCCGCGCACCAGCCCCACCTGCCCGGCGAAGGGCGCCGCCGCCTCGGCCGCCCGCGCCGCCGCCGCCGCTCGGTCCCCGGCCCCCGCCGCCGCCGCCGCCGCCCGCGCGGCGCCCGGGAGGCAGCAGAGCGCGGGCAGCAGCAGCAGCAGCGGCCTCCCGGGCGCCCGCCAGCCGCTCCAGCGCGAAGCCCGGCCGGGCGGCGGCGGCGGCCCCGTCGCGGCGCGGCCGCCCCGGCTCCTCGGCATCCCCGCGGCGGGGCCCGGCCGCCCGGCTGCGATGGCGGCGGCGGCGGCGGCGGCTCCGGCCGGGTCCTCCCGCTGCAGCCGCTGCGGAGCCGCCGAGTCACGGCGCTGCGGACACGCGCCCGGCCCGCCCGTCTCCGCCGCCGCCGCCGCCGCCGCCTCGGCCGCCAGCGCGCCCCCGCCTCCGCGCGCCCCGCCCCGGCGGGGGGCGGCCAGGGGCGCGGGGGCAGCGCCCGGCGGGGCCCGCGGGGGGCGGGGCCGCGCCAGCCCTGGGGCGCTGGTCGGGGGAGCGAGGCCGGGGAGGGGGCCGCCGAGGCCGGCAGTGCAGCTCGGGAGGCAGGGTCCGGAGGGGTGGGGCTGGGGAGGGGGTCTGAGGGGCAGCCCGGAGGGAGGAGGAAGAGGCTAAACAAATAATCCTGGAGCTGGAGCCACGTGACGGCTCCGGGGAGGACACAGGGGTCCAGGGTCCGAAACCACAGGAATGGGGGCTGGGGTGGGGGGGGGGAGGATGAGGACGGTGCCCTGGGGTTAATGGCGGGATTGGAGAAGAATGAGTTAAGGAAACAGCCTGGAGGAGAGGGTCTGGGGGAGAAACGAGAATAGAGCGGAGGGGTGTTGGGGGGGGGGGGGGGGAACCTGAGCGACATTAGGTGAAATTAAGGTGAAGCTCGACCCTCACCCCCCAGAGGGAGAGCGATCACCCAGCTGGGAAGATCAGCTGTCATCCAAAACAGCCCACATTACGGAGCACTTCCTGTAGAGATGGAGAACTCTGGACCACTGGGATACAAAGAAACGGAGGCTGGTTCCCTAAAGTGTAGACTTTACAGCTTGGTGAGAAGAACATACATGCAAAGAGACACAGGGTAGGAAACACCAAGTGTCCACAAGGATACTGGCCTGTGCCTCAGGGGTCAGGGAAGACGGGGTGGGGTCTGGGGAAGTCAGGGAAGGAGTTATGAGCAGGTAGGACTCCAGCTAGGCCTTGATGGAGGGCGGGTTGAAACCAGAGAAAGGAAGCAAGAAGGGCACAGGTAGGTAGGAAGGTGAGGATGGGCAAAACGTGACTGGGGCAGTTTCTCTGGAACACAGGGTTTCTATAGGAAAGAGCTGGGAAGTGAGGTAAATAGTACAAGACCTTAATCCCTAGGATTATGAATTTGGTTTGAAGGGAAATGGGAGTTCGATGATTGAAGATTTTTCTGTTTGTGGTCTCTCTCTCTCTCTTGCAGGATAATATGTGGAAAACAGTATTTTATAGTTACCTGGTAATTTAGAACTGTGGAAAGGGAACAGGCTTTAGAATCAGTCCTATGTTCAAATCTTGGCTCTGTTACATTTTTACAAAATGATGCTGGCAGTACTGTTTAAGGTTGCTGTAAGGATGAAGTGGTTAGCACCTAGTAGATGTTCCACATTAGTCCCTGCCCAGTGTACAGAACAATGTCCAGAGGAGACAGACAGGGTAGTTGGGAGTCTACTGCAATAGTCTAGGTATAAGAACTAATGAGAAGCCCAGCTCATGGCTCGGTGGTTGAGCATTGACCTATAAACCAGAAGATTATGGTTCAATTCCCAGTCAGGGCACATTCCTGGGTTGTGGGCTCAATCCCCAATGTGGGGCGTGCAGGAGGCAGCTGATCAATGATTCTCTCTCATCATTGATGTTTCTATCTCTCCCTTTCCTTCTCTCTGAAATCAATAATAAAAATATATTTTTAAAAAGTTTCAAAATTTTTTAAAAAGAACTAATGATAACAAATAACAAAATAACAATTATTGAATGTCTACCATGTTTCAAACCCTGGCCTAAGCCTTTTACTGTGTTATATTGCCTTTAATCCATATAGATAAACCCTATGAAATAGATTATCTGGAGCAATCTGACCTTAGAATACTTTTTCTAGAATGGGTGTGTGTGTGTGTGTGTGTGTGTGACAGATTAAAGAGACATTGGTCAAAGAAGAAGAGAGAAAAGAGTTTGGAATAGTAGCAAGTCCAGAAAGATGGATGGTGATGTCATCATAGAAATGGAGCTGTCATATTAAGATAGTAAGAACTGGCTTGCGGGAGATAACAGGAGTTTGGTTTAGACTTTATGAGATAGAAATGACAACAAGATGCCTGAGATGCATGTAGAAATGAGTTCAGAAGAGGGTGGAGAGTGAATATTTTGGAAATATTTATTCTCAGTCAATATGATAGTTGAAACTGAAAAACTAGAGTGGGAAAGAGCCATATCAGCTAACAGCCTCATCTTTTTAAAACTATATATATTTTTTAAATGATTTTAGAGAGGAAGGGAGAAGGAGAGAGAGAAACATCAATGACAAGAGAAAATCACTGATGGGCTGCCTCCTGCATGCCCCACTATGGATTGAGCCTGCAACCCAGCATGTGCCCTGATATGCCCTGACCGGATTCATAGATCAACGCTCAACCATTGAGCCATCCCTGGCCGGGCTAGGAGCCTTATTTGACACATATATATTCAGGGCCTGAAAGAAGTTGAGCCAACAAATGAGTCTAAAGAGTGGCCTAAAAAGATTGAGGAATTGGTTGCAGTGTATCATGGGAAAGGGGAAGAGTGTTTCAAGGTGAGGCAGAGGGTTGGCAGTTTCAGGGAGATCACAGGGGCTGAAGACTTGCCTCACACCATTGAATCGAACAGCTCTTGTTCTACTCATGAGAGAGACTTAAGTAAGTCATTGTGGTTACATAATAAATTATGACAGAGATGGCAACAAAATATTCTGGAAACATTGAGGAACTGCCCAAAAGTTGTAAGATTTTGGAGAGGGTATATTCCAGAAGGAGGAAACAGTACATTCAAGGAGTGAAAGGGAACAGGCTGGGCTGAATTTCTTAAATACATGATCTGTCTTATTCATCATCTCCTTCCTTAGTCCTAATGCCAAGTGCTCATTGAAGTGCTAATGATGATGTAGGGCTGAAGTGGTCCATGAGCTGATTACCAAGGATGGTGGTTATAAGTGATAGAAGGTAATTAATGATAAAGAAGGAAGAGGTTGATATAAGGCAAATGGATGCTTATAAAATGTATCCCTAAGGTAAATTTCTAGTCAGGGAAGTTCAGAGTCCATTGTGAAGCCAGCTGAAGAGGAGGGTTAAGACTTCAGAGTAACACCCTAAGATGGAATCACCAAGGCTCTGATTTCTCTTTTCCTTTTTCTTCCTGGAAAAGGATTTGAGTCAGACTCCTGGATTTAGGTATTGGTTGCCATTACTTTGTAGTGTGTCTTTGGGCAAGTCATTTGTTTCATCTCTTTGGGCCTCGTTTTTCTCATTCATAAAATAAAACTCACAACCCCTGCCTCCCCACTTCATGAAAAGGACCATGGGAATGATTGGAATTCACTTTGTAAGCTATAGTTAACTGAGTGGATGGGTTAGGAAAAACTTTTTTATATCAGTAATCTTTATCAGCAAGCAGTATGTCAGTGCCAGAACTCACTGTAGGAACATGAGAGATCTTTCTTCCATTCTTCTCCTCTCATTTCTTCATTCAACAAAAATTTATTAAATATATTTTGAGCCAAAGGCGGTTTCACTCAGTGGATACAGCGTTGGCCTTCGATTCCGGTCAAGGGCATGTACCTTGGTTGCGGGCACATCCCCAGTGGGGGGTGTGCAGGAGCCAACTGATCAAGGTTTCTCTCTCATTGGTGTTTCTAACTATTTCTCTCCTTCCTCTCTGTGAAAAATCAATAAATTATATTTTTAAAACAAACAAACAAACAAACAAACAAACAAATAAATAAATAAATAAATAAATATATTTTGAGTGAAGGCTGGCCTGGAGATTTAAAGAAGGTTAAGTTATAATTGTTGTTTTAGTCAATTAGGGAGATTTACAATGACAAAGGTATGTTTTCAGTAAAGACCTGAAGGAACAAGGGAGTGGACCATGGGGATATCTTGGAGCAATGAATTCAGACACAGAAAACAAGTTCTGAGGCAAAAGCAGGCCTGGTCAGTTTCAGAAACAATATGGAGACCAGTGTGGATGGAGTGGCAGAAGGGTGAGAATATTAGAGGATGAGGGTTAAAAGAAGAAGGGTTTTTACCTGACATAAAAAGCCAGTGGAAGGTTTTGAGACTAGGAGAGATACCTTCTGAGTTACCTTTAACAAAAGCACTTTGGCTGCTACACTGAGAACAGGCTGAGAGGCCAGGCAGGAGGCTCCTGCCTATTACTATAACCCCAGTGTAGGCTGATGGTGGCTTGGACCAGAGTCCAAGTGGGAATAGTGACATGTAGTTGGCTTCTCAATAGATTTTGAAAGCAGAGTTGATAAAACTTGGCAATGGATTGCATATGAGGTCTGAGAACAAGAGAGAGTCGAATTACACTAAACTTTTTGACCCAAGTAACTAGAAGAATGGAGTTGTTATTATCTGACACAAAGAAGGCTGCCAGGGGACAGGTTTGAAAAGGAATATGAAGAGTTTGGTTTTGAACATAAGTGGGTGCTTTCTCTTTAACACTCAAGTGGATGTGGCAAGTAGGCTCTCTCATAGGTGGGTCTGAGTTCAGGAAAGAGGTCTAGACTACAATATGAACCTAGAGGCTTTCAGAATAAAGATCATATTTAAAAGCCAAGGGCCAGGAGAAATTACCTAGCAAATTAATGGGGGAGAGAGAGAGAGAGAGAGAGAGAGAGAGAGAGAGAGAGAGAGAGAGAGAGAAGTTCTGATGATTCAATCTGGGAAAATGGAAAGGAATCCACAAAAGACATTGAGAAAAAACAGGCAAAAAGAAAAAAACCACGAGAGGGAGAAATCCTGGAAGCCAGGTGAAGAAAGCTTTTTAAGAGACAAAGAATATTCAATTGTGTTAAATGCTGCTTACAGATCAAATTATATGATGACTAAGAAATGGTAATTTGGCCGAAACCGGTTTGGCTCAGTGGTAGAGCTTCGGTCTGCGGACTGAAAGGTCCCGGGTTCGATTCCGGTCAAGGGCATGTACATTGGTTGCG